CACACAGCTGCTGTCAGATCCAGGCCCCACATCAGCCCCTCTGCCTTGAGCTGTTCCCCAGCTGCAGCTGCCTGGTGAACACAGCTCACGGAGTGGCAGAGGCCTCCCTGAGTCACATCCAGAGCTGCAGGAGCATTTTTGTCGTTATTTCCCCCAAAACAGAACACTCATCACTGGCCAGAAACAAAGCACAGCATCCTTCAACTGGAGCTGAGCAATTCAAACCAGCCTATTACAAAAAGCAAAACAATTCTGGCAGCCTCAGCTGCTGCTGCGAGTCCAGCACCGCACGAGACAGCAAAACTGGGGCTGTCCCAGGGCAGCTCCTGCCCCACAGCAGCTTAAGGTTTGCTCTAACACTGCCTCAGCTTGGTGAAAACTTTCTCCTTCCCCTGCCAGATTTGGGCTGTGCTGGAAAACACGGCTGATCCCACACAATCTGACCACAGGCATGGACCTGGTACCTGCACTCCCTCTCCAGGCAAAGGCCCCAAGGAAGCCCCTTGTGTTCCTTTATTTAAAAGGGTTTTGGTTTGGTTTTTCATGAGACAAGGGAACAGTGCACGGTCCAGCTCTCCTGGCAGGAATTACGCCACAACATTCTAAAGTAACAGGGTGAATTAGCAGCACAAAAGCTTAAAATAGAACAACAGCTTTTAAAAGCTTTTGCAAAACAAACTCTTTGTTTTCTCTTTATAAAATGTCACTTGTTCAGAAGAAAAGTCAACACATCTCAAGGAAAGGACAGCTGCTCTGTTGAAAACAGGCCAATCAGCATTTTGAAGCTTTACAACTCTTTAGGACAGTCGCTCTCTCGACCTCCAAGATTACAAAGATCATTACACAACAACAATATCACAAACTCTGCTGCTTGCACTCAATTGTTTTCAGCTTTCTGCACACCCAGGGTCAGGCAAATAAACAATTTAAAGGATGCCCCACCAGAATCTGGGAATACCCTGCCTTAATGTCATTGCTGTCACTGACCTCAGGCAATGACATGGACACCAAGGGCTGCAAAAGGCAGCCAGACACCCTCCAGGAGGGAAAACCTTGTGCCAGGCTTTAGCCCTTGGAAAAACCCTGGTGAAAGGGCTTCCTTCACCTCCTTCCTGATGGATACCCTTAGCTTGTACAGTGTAAAACCATACAAGTTAATAGTAAGTGTGAAGTGTAGGGCTTGGGGGAAGACAGTTAATTAAACGGTGACAGGCTTGAAGGAGTGGAAAGATACTTTAAATGTCTTTAAAAACTCTGCCTAAAAGCTTATCTGCTCAATAAGTTGTTTTATTTGTCGTATATTAGACACTAAAAATAGGGTGTTTTCACCTACAAGAGCTTCTTGCTACCTGGAGTACCAGAAACCAATTTCACTGTCATTCAATTTGACACCTTCACCTTCTTAAAAAAAAAAAAAAGGAAAAAAAAAAAGGTGTTATTCCTCAGGAACAGAGCCTTAAGGGTGAGGATAACTACACCCCCTACAATCCCTCCTGACTGCTTCCTGCTCTAGGAGTTGGAATCATCACCATCATCCTCATCAGGGAAACCCCTGGGAGTTCCACAGGGGCTCCATTTCTGTTTACTGTTCTTTCAGCAGAAGACCCAGAGTTTCCATGTTAGGTACTTGACACTCTAGAGCTTCCAGAGCTTTTCTATCAAACAGTGAAAACATCATAAACTCCCCAGCCCTGGTCATCAATTTAAGGCAAACAACCAAACTCAAAGCAGGGCACCTAATGAATTCAGATCATCACTTGCAGGTCATGAATAACCAAGTTCAAAGTAAGCAAATCCAGTGATTAAAATTTCTGCCTGCAAACATGTTTTGTTTTGCACCACAGTAGGTTTGGATTTTTTTATTCCTCGCCAAGACTTTAAAAGTCCTTTTCCTTGGTGTTACTGAAGCACACAAGTGAACAGCTTAAACATAGAATTATTTCTACAGTCAGCAATGCACTGATGGAAGTCTTATATGTGAGTTTAAGACCTGTTCAAATTCAAAATCAAAACCTGTCTAGACTGCCTTTGCCAGAACCCTGCACTAACAAGAAGAGTCTACAGAGCAGAACAGTTTTCCAAGGTAGTTAAATATAAAGGCTTTCTACCTAAAGCTGATTTTGCACAAGACCCTTTTGCTAACTGAAAAAGTGAAGCTCTGAGTGCCTTACTGAGTTATCTCTATCAGCGATACGAGGAGCTTGATCCAGGTTTTAAACGCCCTTCAAAAATAAATAAATAAAATAAAAGGACGTCTTGGACACTGCAACTTAACACTTTAACACTTTGAACAGGAACAGCCAGCACCTCCTTCCCTGGGGGAGAAGCACAGATGACCAGACTGAGCCCCTTCTGTCTACACAGTTGCCATTTGTCACGGCCTTCTCCTCGCCAGGGCTTGTCTGCCAAGAGGGAAGCAAAGCTGTTCCTGCTCCCCTGGCCACAGCACCCACACAGACCGGGCACCAGGAACCTCGGCCATTCTGCAGCCCTTGGTCAAGCACAGATTTGCAGAGCTGGTTGTTACATTCACCGCTACCCGGCCGTACAAGCGCCTCTCACCAGCCGCAAGTTCTGCCTGCTCCTATGTAAAAACACAGCTGAAGCCTAGATCGCTAAAACAGCCATTAGACCACAGATAAGGTGACGTGCTGCTGCAGTGTATATACATTTTTATGGGGATTTCAGAGGGGAAATGGCAAACACGCGTAAACAGCAACCCTCCGAGTCGGTCGGAGCAAGCGGCGCTGGCTCCTAAGCCCCGGCTGCAGCACCGAGAGCTGTGCGATGGCTCTGGATAACACAACCCACAGCCTCGCAGATGCCCAGAAGCGCCTCCCGACTCCTGGGCTGCCCGTGTGTGCACACACACACACACACACACAGCCGGAGCTCAGCTCCTCGCACCCCTGCGCGGCTCAGGGCTCCTGCGGCACCGCCCCAGCCCGGCCCGCAGCCCCTCGGGGCTTCTCCCGCAGCCGGGGCCGCACCGGGGCAGGGCCGGGCCCCGCCATGGCCGCTGCAGCCCTTCCTGCGCCGCCCCGAGGGTCCGGCCGCCACAAAGCGGGGGAAGGGAGGGGAGGGCAGAGGAGGGGAGGCGGCGGCCGGCCCGGCACCCCCGGCCCGGCAGCAGCAGCACCCACCGGGGAGGTGCCCGCCCCACACCAGGGCGGCTGCCGGGGAGGCCCCGCACACACCGCGGGGCCCGGCAGGGCGGCTCCGGCGCGCGGCGGGAGCCCCGTCCGTGGGGTCGCGGAGCCGCCGGCGGGCGGTGCTCGGGGCCGCTCGGGGGTCGCGGCGCTCGGCCCGGGGGTCCCGTCCCGGTCCCGTCCCGGTCCCCCCCGCCCCTCTCACCTCAGGCGCTCGGCCGGGCGTTGGCAGCTCGCTGCGGGGTCTCCGAGGCGCGGGCGGCAGGGGCGTGACGTCACCGCGCAGCGCGCGCCGGGGCGGGGCGGGGCGGGGGCGGGCGCGCGCGCGCGGCGCCCCCTGCCGGCCGCGCGCGCCGCCGAGCCCAGAGCGGGAACGGATTCCAGGAGTTTGGTTTTCAGGAAAGCTAATTTCCTAAAGAAACGATTTCTGCTCTCCGTTAGACCGACTTCCTCATAAATACCATATATATATATGTATATATTACATAGGAAATGGTGACCTCATCAGTCATGACCCAATGCGATCACTGAGCACAAGAGCAAGGGTTAAAAGGGTTAAGAGCAAGGCAGTCCCACTGACTCTTCCCGGGTGATTTTGGGTGAAATCCCCGCTCCTGTCAAGCACAAAGGCAACAGCTGGGTAGAGGCTGGGCTGAGCGGGTGAGATCATGGAGCCAGAGGGACTTGTGGAGTCTCTCACAGGGCACCATCTCCTCGGCTCTCCAGGACTCACCCAAAGCTGTAACCATCACAGGAGGCTCCAGCTCATCCTCCTGCCACCAGCTCCATCCTTGCCCGTGTTCCAGAGGATGCTTATCCTCATGCTCAGCTCTACACCACCTTCCAGCATTTCTGACAGTGCCTCAGTTCTTTGGGTTTATTTAGAAACAAAACCAGCAGGGATGGCAACACTGGGTGGGCTGTTTTGGGGGGAATGGTTCCCCCTTTCCAGCAATCCCTCCCTGCACTGCTGCAGGACCCTCATCCCTGCTTCCCCCATGAGAGCACCGAGCATGAGCCCATCACCTCCTTTGTGTTTCCATACAAATCCACAGCCATGGTGGCTTTGCTTTTTGAGGGGTAAATCCGAGAGAAAGATTTGCCAACACCCAGAGGAACCTGCAGAGCAACCAGCAAGTTGTGGAGTGTCTGCTGGAAGTGAAATCCCACCTAAACCCCTTTGCACATGTCAGGGTACAGATACTAATGATGGAAACAGATAAAACTGGGGCAGGAAGCCCCACTTCCCAGAGGAGCATTAAATCAACACGCATCTGGTGTTGCTGTAATTAGCACCACAGAAAGTGCAGTAATTAACTTTCTCCCTTCCAAGTTAAGATTTAATAACGTGTGGTAAAATCAGACCCAGGGCGATGGGACGAGCAGGGGAAAAAAAAAACATCAAAATAAGACACTTGTGACTTGATAAGGAATTAATTATACCTTGCAATAATAATAATAATAGTAATAATAATAGAATAATTGCTGTTAATCTGGCCTTCAAGTGAGGAAGGGCACTGGGAAAAATTCGCTCTGAGGAGCAGGTTCCTGTCAACCAAAAGCTCAGCCATGCTGGGATGTGGGTGAGCTGCACTGGGCAGAGCTGGGAGAAAAAAAACTGGAACAAAAAAAAAAACCACATCTGGATTGCCAGGGAGCTGCCTCAAACCTCCCCATTTCTATGTGATCCCACAGGGAACAGCTCTTCCCATAGGGAATTGTCACTGCCAGCAGCCTCAAGCATCTCCCAGGGTGTGGGCACGAGGACAAGGGGCTGGAGATGTCCTGTCAGCTTCACGTGCCACCAACTCTCCCTGATAAAGCCAAAGGGAGTAACACAGGGCCTGCCTCAAAGGGACACCTGAGATCAAGATTGATTTATTTTACTTTCCCCACTGCTCTGGCACAGAGGCATCCAGTGCCCTGTCTCCACCTGGCAGCTCATGCACTCAAATCCAAGGGGAATGCACAAACCCATTGTTTGAAGAGCACCTGAGGCCTGAATGGAGCTCTTCCCAATGAAGGACATTTCCCAGACACTTCCCAGCTCCAGCTCACCCATGTTCCCAGCTCAGGGGTTCAGGCCAGCTGGGACAGAGAGCAGCAGATTCTCATCACAACAGACCCTTTGCATGGGGTTTTGACGCCTCTTCCCGGGCCGCAGAGTTCCCTAAACGTGCATTTTAACAGGGGGCAAAATCCAGCCCTGAAATCATTACCTGCCAGAGACAGGCAGGTAGGACATGTTATGTTATAGCATTATCACATCTCTGGAACTCACACCAGCTGCCTCCCACTCCAGCCGGGCACAGGTCAACAAAATAAATTACTCAATTACCAGAAAATCCAGTAGGACTGAACACATAATTAGTCTCCTTAAAGCACAGAGCAATCAGCATTTTTGTTTCTTGGTCTCTTTCCTCGCCCAGGCCCCGTGTCCCCTCACGCAGGGACTCCGCTCAGGGGGTCCTGTGTGGTCACTCCTGTGACTTGGTCAGGCCCTGGAAGTTGGGCTCTGTGCAGGGGGGCAGCGCTGCCTGCCGGCTCAGCAGCTTCTCCAGGACGGCTATTTCTGCATCTCGTCTCTCAACGTCCTCAAATGGAGTCCAGGACATGTCGTGCTGGAGCTTGTAGGCACCGAGAAATTCGTGGGGAGTGGTTCCCCATTCCTGGTGGGGAAAGGAGAGACTTCATCAGTGCCCAGTTTCCCTCACAGCTGGGCTGTGCTGTCCCCTCAGCCCCCAACCTTTGCTGCACTCCCAGCTACGTGGCCATCCCATTTCTTAACCTAAAAACAGGCTCAGCTACCCTGAACCCAAGATCAGGTCGAGCCCCAGCGCTGCTGACACAGGGAGGCTCGAGGGCACAAGATCTCCCTGACCTGCCCAGAGGTTTGCCCTGAAGCCTTCACCCTTGCATGTAAGAAAATGGGTGGCCTGGAAGGAGGAGACCTCCAAGACCACCCCCCAAGCTGCAGGCAAACTCAGTCCCTGGGCAGAAGCACCTGAAGACACCACCCTGTCAGGCACTCACAAAAGGCTCAGAGGAAGAACTGCAGGGACCAAAAGGCAGAATTCAGGTCCATGCACCAAAGGTCTGCCTGCCATCCTCCACCAAGAGCCAGAGAACTCCATAAGATGGCTCTGGCCCCAGCAGACTAACTGGCAAAGGCCAGCTGAGCAGCAACCAACAAAGCCCCCACCAAGCTGGTGCTTTTTTCTGAGGTCCACACGTCCCCAAACACCACAAACATGACTTTTTTTTCCCCCTCCCTGCTCCCTCAGGGCCTGAAACCACCCACCTTAGGAGACAGGATGGAGAAGTAGCGCTGCCCACTCTCCCGCCTGTACATGTAGTAAATGTTTCCTGGCTTCTTCACGAGGTTGCAGGCCACGTGGTTCAGATCAGCATCTCTGTTAGCTTCATCCAAGACCTGGAAAACACAAACTTGATACTTCTACATTTGAAATGAAATGACAATGTGCTATTGCCAGAGCCCAAGACACATCACTTGGCACACAGCTCACAAGGCCTTGATCTGCGTGTCTGATTTCACCTGCCCCCAGGAAGGAGATGCTTCCCAAAGAGATTAGGTTTTCTCCACGTCTTCCCTGTCAGCTGGACCTCAGAGCACCTCTCCCCAGAGGTGGAGATACCTCCAAGGATCTCTGCACCTCTCCCCAGGTTCACCTCTGTGCCTGACCCCACACGCACAGCTGCTGGACCCTGGGGGCTTCCTGCTGCTGTCCCCAAGGGAAGGGGCAGGGAACAAAGGGGAATTCATCTGCCCAGCTCCACCAGTTAATGATTACATGACGTAAGTGCCTCCATGGCCGCAGGCCAGTTGCACTGACTGGCAGATCCTTTCCCATTCTGACTCCAGATTTCCCCCCCCAGGGTGAAGGGTGTATTGATGAGCACAGCTGAGCCCTGCTGGGTGCTGCCAGGACCAAAGGAGCTGGGACAAACGGGAAAGCCAAGCCCACCCATCAGGGAAAGCTGATCTCTCTCAGGGGGCTCAGATCCAACCAGGGTCACATTGTCACCCCACTGGGTCCTCCTGGGAGCACAGCACATTAAAGTTAACGTTACAGCCCTTCCTAAATCCGGACTCATCTCTATGTCCTCCCTGAAACATGAGCTGTCCTTCCTGATGTGCCCTGGACTCAGGGAAAGCACCCAAAACCGTCCCCATTGACACCTGACACAGCCACAGCTCCCCCCGAACGCCCTGCAGCGAGGGCAGGCGCTCACCAGCGAGCCTTCTGCCCAACCCCGCTCACCTTCCGCGCCTGCTCCTGCAGGTGCCGGATCTGCTCGGCGATCACGGCCAGTTTGCTGCAGGCGTTCGCCCGCACGAAGTCATCGGCCTGGGAGAGAGGGAGGAGCGAGGAGGGCTGGTCAGGACGGGAGGAGCCGCAGCCCCCTCCCCGGACACGGCCACGCTCGAGGTGTCACAGCACCCCCGGGGTACTGGAGTGTCACTGGGAGGCACTGGGAGCTGCCAGGACAGGCTGGGGGGCAGTGGGAGGGAGCGGTAGGGACACACTGGGTTGGACCGGGAGGTAGCGGGATGCACAGCAAAGAGGCAGTAGGATTTTCAGGGAAGCGTTTAGGTGGGCCGGGAAGCTCTGGAGGACAAAGTGGACATCACTGGAAGCCGGTAGGATGTACTAGGAGGCACCGGAGGGAAAGTGGAATCATTCGAGGGCGGGGGCACTGGGCTGTGCTGGGACACACTGGGAGGGGCAGCAGGACATATCAGGAAAACTGGGGTAGACTCAGGAGGCACCGAGATGGACTGGGAGCCACTGAAGTGGGAATGAGACATACCAGGGGTGCTGGGATGGACTGGGAGAGAAGCGGCTGGAGGCACACAGTGGGGTGAACTGGTCAGTGGGACATACTGGGAGGCAGCAGGGTATACTGGGATGGGACTTGGTTGTGATGCTCTGTGAGTCACCGGGGGGCAGCAGGGCACAGCGGGAAGCGGCGAGGTGCAAAGGGAGACACCAACAGCCTGGGAACTCGGGAAGGCACTGGGACTGGACAGTGGGAGATGGTAGGAGGCACCAAGAGGCCGCCGGGATCACCAGGGAACAGTGCTGGGAGGCACCAAGGCCACGGCCGGCTGAGAAGGCCCCGGAGAACGGCCGGGAGGCAGCGGGGACACCGGGCCCAGAGCCATGCCCCCGTCGCCCCGGCGACCGGCCCTCACCTGCTGCACCTGCCGCGCCAGGGCCACCAGGTCTCCGGGGTCCCCGACGCGGGCGGCGCGGCCGGCGCTGCCCTCCACCAGCGCCAGGGCCAGCCCGGGGCCGGTGCCGCCATGCCCGGGCTCCGCGCCGCCCTCCGCCATGGCCGCACGCCCGACCCCTCCCGCCCGCTTCCTGCCGCGCCGTCACCGCGCGCGCCGAGGGGGCGGGGCCTCGGCTGAGGCGCTGCGGCCGCTGATTGGGCGGCGTGCGCGGAGGGGGCGTGGCGCGGCGGAGAGGGCGGAGGCACGGCAGCGCGATACGGTCACTGATTGGGTGATGGTCGCGGAGGGGCGTGGCGGGGGCGTGGCTTGTACCCCCGCGGTGCGGCGGCTCGGCCGGGGCTCAGTCATGGCGCTGCCGCTGCCGCCGCCGGTCATGGCGCTGCTGCTGCTGCTGCCGCTGGTGCTGCTGGCGGGGGCCGCCACGCCGCCGGAGCCGCTCCCTCTCCCTGTTGCGGCCGACCCGCCGCTGCCGGCCCAGCCGCCGGACGCGCTGTTTGCCGCCGGCGCCGAGGCGTACGCGCGGGGGGACTGGCCGGCCGTGGTGCTGCAGATGGAGCGGGCGCTGCGGGCGCGGGCCGCCCTGCGCTCCCGCCTGGCGCGGTGCCGCCTGCGCTGCGCCAACGCCACGGCCGAGGCCGAGGAGGAGAGCGCCGACCCCCAGCCCGACCCGGTGCTCCGGGACCTGCGGTTCTTCCGGGGGCTGCTCCGCCGCGCAGCCTGCCTGCGGGGCTGCGGGCCCGCCGCGCCCTCCCGGTACCGCCTGAGCGAGGAGCTGGAGCGAGAGTTCGGCCGGCGCAGCCCCTACAACTACCTGCAGGTCGCCTATTTCAAGGTGCGGGACCTTGGCAGGGAGGGATGGAGGGAGGGGAGGAAGGAGTTCCCGGTGCGGCGGGATGCGGGACGGGCGGGATGCGCGGAGGATGCCGGAGCCGGGCGGGGCCGGGGGGGGACGGAGGGATGGGATAGAGAGAACCGTCCGGGGACGATCGCGGTGCCGGGACGCGGGGGATGAGTTCGGTGCGTGCCCCGACGGGATGGCCGTGCCCTGCCCCCCTCAGTGCCACGTCGGAGCTCGCCGGGGCCGCCCCCGTCACCGCCCCCCGCCCCGGGATGCTCCGGGATATCCCGGGGGTCCCCTCCTCCCCGCGTGGGATCCCCGCTGTCTCACCCCACTCGTCCCACCCAGATGAACCGGCCGGCGCAGGCGGCAGCGGCCGCTCACACCTTCTTCGTGGCCAACCCCGGGCACCAGGAGATGAGGCAGAACCTGGAGTACTACCAGGCCATGGTGGGGGTCCGTGAGGAGGACTTCACCGACCTGGAGGCCAAACCCCACCTGGTGAGACGTTCCCCCTCCCCTTCCAAAGTCCCTGTGGTGCTGCGAGGACCCTCCCCATGGGGACAAGGTAGCCCAGGTGATCCACCACAGGGATGGAACCCCCATGTTGAGCTCCCTCATCGTCCCTCATCCCTCTGCAGAGCGAGTTTCGGCTGGGGGTCCGGTTTTACACGGAGGAGCAGCCGGCTGCAGCCATCCTGCACCTGGAGAAGGCCCTGGAGGAGTATTTCGTGGCAGACGCCGAGTGCCGCGCTCTCTGCGAGGGGCCCTACGACTACGAGGGCTACAACTACCTGGAGTACAATGCAGACCTTTTCCAGGCCATCACAGGTGGGAGCTCTGCCTGCTGTGTCCTGTCACAAGAGCTGGGGACAGTTCTCGGTGGGTGGGTGGTTCCCAAAGGACCTGGGGGATGGTGGGTCCCTGAAGAGGGTAAAAACCCCCTCCTAGGTTTCACTGGGGGGAGTGTGGCTAGTAAGTGGCAGGAGGTGTTTGCCTGCACTCAGCACTCGAGGTGACACTCAGGAATCCTCCAAATTCCAGAAGGATATGGAAAAACAGGAGAGGGACCAGCAGAGGGTCACCAGGATGGGAGGCCAGGGATGGCCACTCTGTCCCCAGAGAGCAGCACATCCCCCCCACCCAGCACTTAGAGGGTGACAACCAACCACCAAAAACCTGGCAAAGAGCCCCGGTGCCAGCAGGAGGTTGGAGATCCCTCAGGGTCCTGCCCACCAGCCTGTGGGTGACCGTGAGCAGTGACATGGGGTGTTTTTTCCCTCCACCAGATCACTCCATGCAGGTGCTAAGCTGCAAGCAGGGCTGTGTCACGGAGCTGGCCTCACAGCCTGGCCGCGAGAAGCCTCTGGAGGATTTCCTGCCCTCGCACTTCAACTACCTGCAGTTTGCCTACTACAACAGTAAGCAGCTTCTGTGGGCTGTCAGGGCTGGGCACCCTGCTCTGGGCAGGCTGAAATCGTGGATGCACAGGGTGGTTGGGTTGGGAAGGGAATTTCAAAGATTGTCTCGTCAGTCCAGCCCAAGGTGCAGCGAGATCTTGGCATCGGTCACTCTGAGGTCTCTCAGTGCCCCATCCAACCTGCCTTGGAACACTTCCAGGGATGGGGCAGCCACAGCTTCTCTATGCAGCCTGTGCCAGGGCCTCACCAGCCTCATCATAAAAATCTTCCTTATGGCCAACCTAACCCTGCCCTCCTTCACTTTAAGACCCTTGCTCCTTGTCCTGTCACTAAAAACCTTGGTAAAAACTTGTCCTCACATCTCTTGTAGCCCCTTGAGATATGGGAAGGCCACAGGATCTCCCAGGAGCCTTCCCATCTCCAGGTTCAACAACCTAAATTTTCTCAGCCTTTCTTCCTAGATGTGCTCCAATCCTCTGACCATTTTTGGGGCCTCTGGACCCACTCAAAGGGGTCCATCCACACCCTTCTTGTGCTGGGGATCCCAGCGCTGGAGGCAGTGCTATGGGGTGGGTCTCATCAGAGAAGAGATCACCTGCTACCCACGAGGCAGCCCAGAGGGGTTTCTGGGCTACCACAGCCAGATCCTGTCCAATTTTTCATCCACCCTTATCTCCAAGTCCTTCTCCATGAGTGCTCTAATCCCATCCATCCTCCTGTCTTCACTCAGACTGGTGGAGAAGCTTCACTGTGCAGGTGGCCACGTGCTGGGACAGGTTGCCCAGAGAAGGTGTGGGGTCTCCCTCAATGGAGATATTCCAGAACCATCTGGATGCAATCCTGTGTTGGGGTGATTAAGCAGGGAGGTTGGACCAGACTGACCCAGTGTGGTCCCTTCCTTTCCTTCCCTTTCCCCAGTTTGTGATTGTGTGAAAGGCTGCACAGAAGTGGGGCAGGGTGCTTCAGTGGCTGGAAATTGCAGGTTAGCCAGGAAAGGGTTGGGTCTGACTGCCTGGAAATGGGCCTCAGGAATTTTTCCAAGCAAGAGAAGTACCCGACCTGTGACCTGGGTTTCTGGAGGCGGGAGAGCACCTTGGATTCTGGATTTTGCCTTTGTGGCAGCAGTTATCCTTGCTCCAGGGGATCTGCCTTACTTGTGAGACCCTTTGCAGAGGACAACAAGGATTTTGTCACTCATCTCTCCTCCACACCCACGTTTGCTCTGCCTCCAGTGCCCTTGGACATGCTGTTAAACAGCCACACTTCCTCTTTGCAGGTGGGAATTACGAAAAAGCCATTGAATGTGCCAAAACCTACTTGCTCTTCTTCCCACATGACGAGGTGATGAACCAGAATCTGGCCTATTACACCGCTGTCCTGGGGGAAAACCTGGCCAGACCCATCCAACCCCGAGAGGTGAGCACTCAGCTGAGACATCTTCTCCCCTCCCTGGTGACCTTTGCAGAAATTTTGGGGTCTTCTTTGGTCCAATGTACAGGAATGGATGGATTTAGGGTCTAACAAGCTGGAAAATAGCTGAGAGGCTGAAAATCACCACTGGGAAAATATCTTTGGCCAAGTGAAGCTGGATGATTGGCACACATGGACCCACTCCTCAGGAAGAGGGATGGGAGAGGCAGGTGGAGGGACTTTTTAGGAGGGTCTGAGCGCACCTCTGCTGCACTCTTCCACAACTGAAATGAAATTGCTTAAAAAGGAGAGGATTTGGCTTCAAAATAGCTGGATCTGGGTGACCAGGTCCTGCCTGGGATGTGGTAGGCAGGAATGGAGGTCTCTGCCCTGCACCAGCTGGAGTAGGGAAGGGGTTCTGCTCCTAAAGAGCTTCCAACAGAAGGGACATGTGTGTGCCTCTGCTGGAGTGTCCTCTCCTCTCCCAGGAGTCATCCACACAGTACAGGGAAATTCAGGCAGGATGGGGAAAGCCACTTCCTTCCCAGCTGCTGGAGGGAGCAGGAAACCAGGGCTATAGGTCTGGAGGAAGGACCACAGGAATGGTGTAAACCTGCCCCTTCCTGCCCATACTCAGGGTTCTTCAGAGCCCTGGTGCTGTGCCTCACCCCTTTCCTGTGCCCCCTTGCCACAGGAGATCCAGGTGTACCGCCAGCGGAGCCTGATGGAGAAGGAGCTGCTCTTCTTCAGCTACGATGTCTTCGGCATCCCTTTCGTGGACCCGGTGGGTGGTGCGAGACCAGGGAGACGTGGTGGCCAGATGGAATGGGGATGAGGGGGTCTGCCTCCTGGCCAGGTCCTTGCCCAGCTCCTGATGCTGTTCTTCTGGCTGCAGGACACGTGGACACCCGAAGAGGTGATACCAAAAAGGCTGCGAGAGAAACAGAAGTGAGTGCTGTCCCCAGCCGAGCCCTCCCAGTGGGGTCCAACAGGACATGCCCCTCTTCCTCTGCGGGGTTTGGGCCGAAGGCCATGGCACAGAGCTGCTGCCAGGGAAGGTGTTGATGTTGGGGGTGGAAGAGGCTGCTGGAGGGCAGAACTTTGCTCCCCATCAGCTCATGGGACGATGGGCACGGGTGGGGCGCCCCAAGCACCACAGAGTGAGGGGTGCATTGGAGTGACTCTCCCCAGTCTTGGGCTTTGTCACCAGCCCCTGAGCCAACTTATTCCCGCCCTTTTGTTGGCTCCTCTCACTCCTGACGTGGTGGGGACAGTGGGATGGTGGGGCTGATGGCTGCCACGTGCCCAGGGCGGAGCGGGAGACGGCGGCACGCATCTCGGAGGAGATCGGCAACCTCATGAAGGAGATCGAGACGCTGGTGGAGGAGAAGGCCAAGGAGTCTGCCGACATGAGCAGGTTCATCCGAGAAGGTGCAGAGCAGGGGAGGTGGGATGGGGGCCTCTGTGGCCCCTGCTGCCCGTCCCTCCACGCGTGGGTGGCAGCAGGAGCAGGCGGCAGCACCGCAGTTTCCCCCAGGGTTGTTGGTGCGCGTCCCCACGTCCCCCAACCCCGTTTGCGCCCCAGGTGGCCCCTTGGGGTACGAAGGAGCCAGTGTCACCATGAACTCCAAGGCCCTGAACGGCTCCCAGCGTGTGGTGGTGGATGGAGTCCTCTCTGCCGAGGAGTGTCGGGAGCTGCAGAGGCTCACCAACGTGAGTGTGGGGACGGGTGGGGCGGGCAGGGGGTGCAGCTCAGACCACTGACACCCACTGGGTTTTGCAGGCAGCTGCCTCAGCCGGGGATGGCTACCGAGGGAAGACCTCTCCCCACACCCCCAGCGAGACCTTCTACGGCGTGACCGTCCTCAAGGCCCTCAAGGTTGGGGTGGACGCGGGGAGGAACGGGCTGTGGGGGCACGGGGCAGGAGTTTGGGGGCGGGTGGTCACCCGTGCCCGCCTGGGGCTGAGCCCCCTGTGCTGCCTGTGCCCCTGCAGCTGGGCCAGGAGGGCAAGGTGCCCCTGCGCAGTGCCCACCTGTACTACAACGTGACGGAGAAGGTGCGGCGCATGATGGAGTCCTATTTCCGCCTGGAGGCCCCGCTCCACTTCTCCTACTCCCACCTCGTGTGCCGCACGGCCATCGACGGTGAGCGCGGCCCCGGGGAGCGAGCCTGGTCCTGTCGGGTCCCCTCCAACAGCTGGAAGTGCTCTGGTCTTGGACCTCTCCTCGGAGACCTCTTTGCTGCTCCCGGGCTTCCTCCTCTTCCCGGGAGGGTGTGGGGAGCTTGTCCCTTAAGCCCAGTTCAAGGAAGATGAGCAGCAGCTCTGTTGGTTGCCTCCAGTGGGGTAGATGGCTTCATGCCACGCAGGATTTCAGCACTCAGAGGCACTTGGGATGGGTGCTGGGCGGGGCTGTGCCTGGAGGGCCATGGGAATGCCACCCAAATGGCCTTGCATGGTCCACACTCCAGCACAGTGGAAGTGCTTTAGGCTACAAGTGACTTTCTTTTCACCTCCAAGCCCAGGATGCTTGGGGATGGACCCTGTTCTTGCACAGACAGAGGGGTCCTGATGTGCCAGGTCTCGTTCCACCCTAGAGAAGCAAGAAGGTCGGAGTGACAACAGCCACGAGGTGCATGTGGACAACTGCATCCTCAACGCAGAAGCTCTGGTGTGCGTGAAGGAACCCCCAGCTTACACGTTCAGGGATTACAGGTACTGGTGATGGCGCTCAGCTGAAGGTACCACGGCTTGGTGGCACCTAGGCTGGGAGGAGCCAGGTGGGAGGACGCCAAACCTGGGCTGTCCTGCCTCAGGCTCTTGCTGTGGGTGTTGGGGGAGCTCTGGACTCGCTTCTGGAGCTGTGGTCAGGGTTGTTAGTTACCTCCACTCGACCCCTGCTCCCTTTTCTTTTAGTGCCATCCTTTATCTCAACGGAGACTTCGAAGGAGGAGCTTTCTACTTCACTGAGCTGGATGCCAAGACGCAGACCGTGAGTAGCTCAGCTCCCAGGATCCACGTGCAGCCCCGAACCCAGCTCCTTCCTGCTGGCCCTGTCCCCTGGGAACACCCCCTGGGCCACTGCAGAGGATGAGCTGGGCTTGAGGGGGGACTGACTCGCTGCTGACCGGGGTCTCCCCACCTTGGCAGGCGGAGGTCCAGCCGCAGTGTGGCCGTGCCGTGGGCTTCTCCTCGGGCTCGGAGAACCCCCACGGGGTGAAGGCCGTGACCAAGGGCCAGCGCTGCGCCATCGCCCTCTGGTTCACCCTGGACCCCCGGCACAGCGAGCGGGTGAGCGCCCTCCCAGCAGCACGGGGTGGGTGGGGTGGTTTCAGTGGGATATTGGCCCTGCTTACCCCAACCCCCTTGTGGGTCTGCCCACAGGAGCGTGTGCAGGCAGATGACCTGGTGAAGATGCTTTTCAGCACGGAAGAGGGGGATTTGGAGCCAGAGCCGGAGCAGGAGCCACCCGCTGCCGTTGTGGTGGCGGCAAAGGACGAGCTGTGATGTCCCTGCCGGGACCAGTGACACCAGCATTGCAGCTTTGGGCTGCTCAGTCATCAGGGTGACATGTGGGACCCCCCCTGCCCCTAACCCATGTGGGATGGGGCACTGGGGAATGCCCTGCACTGCCCCTGCACCATCCATCATCCCCCCGTGGAGCTGACCTGGGGTGTGATAGAGACTCGGAGGGGTGCTGTGTTAGGGGTGAGGCCCCAGTGCCACAGGTGCAGTTGTGTGCCTTTTCCTGAACCTGCGGCTATTTAAGTGCCTTTTTCTGCAGAAAATGGGTGAATAAAGGTATTTTTTTTCTAAGCTGTTGCTGGCTGGAGGCTGCTACCCCCCCCCAACTTTGGCTGCCATCAGTGTTGAGGTGCAGCTTTGCCTCCTGGCAAACATTTACTGGCGAGTGTTGCAGCCCTGCAACCCCACAGAGGTGTTCTGTGGGGGGACAAGGTGCCCCGGGGGCAATGCATCCCCTGCAGCGTGGGAAGGGACCCACCATTCCAGGAAGGAGGGAACCGTCCTTGAACAAGAAGGACATTGAGCCCTCTGGCACCCCCGGACAGGGCATCGAATTGTTCCTGGCCATTACCATAACCATCCCGGGAATGTGGGCAGAGAGATCCTGCCCCGCTGCACCAGTACCCAGCACCCCCGGCCCGCTGGGAGAGGGCAGAGAGCAGGGCCCGTTCAGCATCAGGGTGGGCGAGGGGGGTCTGTGGGGCAGGGTTCCTGCAGGATGCACAGATGGTCCCACTGGAGGGTGCCCACCATCCCCGGGGCCCACCCTGCCTGCCTGGGCGCGTGAGCAGACTGCTGATGAGGCCAGGGCGGTTAACCATTGCCAGGTCCTGGGGCTGCCACGGGCTTGGTGTCACCGGGGTGGTGCCACGTGTCCCCCCCCTACACCCCGTGTCCCCCTCCTGCAGGGGGACACCACTGACAATGGCATCTTTTGTTGGGGCCGAGGGAGGTGGGTGGCGTGGTGTGCCCGAATTCCCTCGCTGAATGAGCCCCTTCCCTGCTCCCTGTCGAATTCCTGGAGCCACCCCCAGGGCCTCTGTGGCTGGAGGGGGGCTCCCAGCCCACAGCAGGGGTGCAGAGGGTCACCTCCTCCACACCCTCTTCCCGTTGGGGAGCCCCATTTTCCCATATCCCTGCACTGTCACTCGAGGGGTCCCCCTCTCCCTCAAGAGCCAAATCTCTCCTGTAGGACAGAAATACTCCCCATGCCCCAAATCTTTACCCCAAGGCCAAATTCTTCCCTTTAGGACTCGAATCCCAACCTCCAGCCCCAAATCACTCTCCTCAGATTCAAATCTCTCCCCCTTCAGACCCCAAATCTCTCCTGCCACAGAATCCAATGCTCTTCCCTGGGGACCCAACGCTTCCTCTCAGGCCCCTAATTCCACCCCTCCCTGCCCCCAGTACCCAATTCCCCCCCAAGCCCCACATCACCCCCTGCTTTGGCCCCAAATCTCCCACTCGGGACTCAAATCTCTTCCCCCTCAGAGTCCAAATCTCTCCCCCTGCAGAATCCAATGCTCTTCCCTGGGGACCCAACACTCCCTCTCCAGGTCCCTAATTCTGCCCCCCTCCACGCCCCGTGTCACCCCCAAATCTCCCACTCGGGACTCCAATCTCTCCCCCTCAGACCCAAACCTCTCACCCCACAGACCCAACACTCCCTCTCCATGCCCCTAATTCCCCCGCCCCTCCAAATACCCAATTTCCCCACTCGGAGAAAATTTCCCCACCCCCCAAATCTCCCACTCGCGACTCTTAAAAAAAAAAAAAAATAATCCCTCCCAGGACCTAAATCCCCCCTCCCCGCAAGACCCTTCACTCCAAATCCTCCCCCATCACCTCCCCGTATCGGCCCTCCCTCCCTCCCTCCCTCCCTTGCCGTGCCTTCTCCCTCCTCCCACGCCGCGCTGGGTGCCGCGGGCGGGCGGTGCGTGGATCGCGGGCAGCGCGGGGCGCGATGGGCGGCGGGGCGCGGGAGCTGTGCGGGTACCTGGCGGCGCTGGGCGGGTGGGTGTCGGCGCTGGCGGCCGCGGTGCTGCCGCAGTGGCGGCAGAGCTCGTACGCCGGGGACGCCATCATCACGGCCGTGGGGCTCCACGAGGGGCTGTGGATGAGCTGCGCCGCCCAGAGCACCGGGCAGGTCCAGTGCCGCCTGCACGACTCGCTGCTCTCGCTCGACGGTGGGTACCGCGCTTCCTTCCCTGGCTTCGTTCCACCCCACCCCGCCCCGAGCTCCCCCTGGGGTCCTGAGCACCTTGAGGTGCAAGAACCGTCTCTGAGCTCCCCTGGGAATCTTGAGCTGCCCTTGCCCCCTGCTGCTGCAGGTCTGAGCCCTGCTGTGGTTCTGACAGCCCCTCTACGGCTCTAAGCCCCTCTGTATGTTTAAACCTCTATGTGTGAACTTATACAGGTTGGAAATCCCACACCCACAACAGGTCTGTGCCCTCTCGGTGCCTGGGTGCCCCCCCTACCCCGCAGGTCTGAGTCTTGCTGTGGTTTTGACAGCCCCTCTGTGGCTCTAAGCCCCCTCTGTGTGCTTGAACCCACCTATATGGGTTTGAACCCCTGCCCTGTAAGGCTCTAAGCCCCCTCTGTGTGTTTGAAACCCTCTATATGGCTTTGAAACCCCATGCCTGCAACAGGTCTGTGCCCTCTTGGTGTCTGGGTGCCCCCCCCTTACCCTGCAGGTCTGAGTCTTGCTGTGGGTTTGACAGCCCCTCTATGGCTCTAAGCCCCCTTTCTGTGTTTGAACCCACCTGTATGGGTTTGAACCCTCTCAGTGTCTGGGTGCCCCCTTCCCCCTCCATGGGTCTGAGCTCCCCCTGGCCCCTCCAGAGTCTTCTGGTGGTCCAAACCCTTCTTGCCCCCCTCACCCCGTCCCAGGTGTGAGCCCCTCTAATGTGCCTCTGACCCCCCTCGGAAGGGTCTGAGCCCACTTCACGCATCCACTGAACCTCGATGTGGGTCCAGCTTTCCCCTCTCCATGAATCTGAGCTCCCCACACCAGGGCTGAGCCTCTCTTGGCCCTGTGGGTTCAGGCCCCTTTGTGTGGCTGGGATGCCCCCTGGCCCCGGTGGGTTTGAGCTCCAGGGTGGCCATCACATCTGGGGACCAACAGTGCCCCGTGGGGACATCACAACCTCCCCTGCCCCGCACCCCCAGGCTGTGGATCACCCTTGTGGTATTTGGGGACCGTGGTGCTGCTCAGGGCAAAGTGTTTCCTGGCCTGGACAATCATGAGGAGGATGAGTGTGGCAGGGGGAAAGGTCAGGGAAGGTGTTGGAGGGTGGTGCCCTGAGCTGAGCTCAGGTCTCTGTACCTGCCAGGTGGGGGAAGAGGTGACATGGGAGTCACGCAGTGAGGACAGGGTTAAGGACACATCCATCCCCAGCGTGGGAGGAGGTGACCTTGCTCCCAGTGCCCGGCTGTGGCCAAAGCCACCTGCTGGGAGCAGCTTTTCTCCCCTCCCTTGCAGTTCACATCCAGACCTCCCGGGCTCTCATGGTCATTTCCCTCCTCCTGGGCTTCTTCGGCATCATCGTGAGCGTGGTGGGCATGAAATGCACTAAGGTTGGGGAGGAGGATCCTGTCACCAAAAGCCGCATAGCCGTTGCTGGAGGTGTCCTCTTCATCCTCTCTGGTAAGGCAGCTCCAGCCCTGGCACCTCGCTGGTGCAGGAACCCTCAAACCCCTCTGAACGCTGTTTGTTGGAGCGTTCAGTGAGGGCTGCGTGTCGCTGGTGGTCAGCCTTTGATGCCTGGTGGGGGCTGGACTCGGTGACCTTTAAAGGCCCCTCCCAACCCAAACCATTCCGTGATTCCCTGGTTCCGTGCCCAGGTCTGTGCTCGCTGGCTGCCGTGTCCTTGTACGCCACACAGGTGACCTACGAGTTCTTCAGGGAGAGCGCCGTCCCCATCAACGCCAGGTAAGAGCCTGGCTCGGGGGGGTCCTCTCCATCTGCACCCCATCTTGCCCCTGCACTTCCCACTGGGACCTTCTTCCCTTGCTGGTGTTGGCAAGGCTGATGTGCCCCGTGGGAGGGACCTCTGCCACCCCTCACTGCCACCTTACAGATGTCCCCGAGGGTAAAGCTTTGGTGGTTGTCACCTGGGACAGGGTAATGGTGCACACGGGGGAGTTTCAGCCCAAGGGAGGGTTTTAAAAGATAGGGAAATGCAGGAGCATCGTGAAAGATGGGGATGGAGAGGGAAGAACCAAAATCTGCCTGGGCATTGCCGGTCGCCTCCATCAGGGCTTCAGCCTTCCTGTTGCCCATCTCAGTTTGCAGCTCTGCCTCTCTGCCCCCCTCCCTGACGCTCCCCCACCCCATTCCTCCACAGGTACGAGTTTGGCTCTGCCCTCTTCGTTGGCTGGGGGGCCGCCGGCCTCTCCATGCTGGGGGGGTCCCTCCTGTGCTGCTCCTGCCCTGCCAAGGAGCGCCGAGCGCAGCAGTACCTGCGGCAGACACAGCCCTCCACCTCCCGGGAGTACGTCTGAGCCCTCACCCCGCCCTCCCACCGCCCGGTGCCTCCCTCCCCTCCCGAAAACAGGCAAGGCCCTGGTGCTCCCACCCCCACCTGGTCCCCCCGGATGCTCCACGAGACCGTTCTCCTCCTCATCTTCCAGGTTTCAGCGCCGTTTGCGGCACCAGCCTCTAAAATAGAGGGGTTTGAGGGTCGCAGCTCCCGTACCCGTCACTGCCACGGTCCCCTCGGGTGGGCGGGGTGGCACCCCCAGTCCCCTGGGCTTGCTGGGCCGTGTCCCTCAGTCCCAGGGATGCTGCAGGGGCGATGGGGGCGATGGGGAGGCTGATGCCGGTGCCACAGGGGCACAAAGCTGACCCCGTGGGGATGTGCTGCCCAGAAGCACTTTGTGCCATGACCACCCCTCTGCCACACCCTGTTTTCGGGAGCAGGTGGGGAGCGAAGCCAGTGCTTGGTTTCCCTGAGGTGAGGTTTTCACCTCCAACAGCCCCAGCCCAGCTCAGGGCTCAGGCATCCCCTGCTCTTGGCACAGGGATGCTTCCAGCGTTCCCCCTGCCTCGTTGTTACCTAAACCCGACATTTTTTAAAGTTATTATTAATTATTACTAATTCCTACCTGGAGGCCAGTTGCTCCAGCTGAGCTCTGCCGGCCAAAAACTGCCCTGTTCCTTCCCAGGACCAGGCTGTGCCTTGTTAAACAGAAGAATAAATGGCTTTGGGCAAATTAAAGCAGCAAAAAAAAAGGGGGCTCTGAGCACAGAGGAGGGTTTGTTTTTATTTTTTGGTGCCCAGCTCAGCTATTTCGAGTGGCAGATGGACAGAGCCCCAAATTTTGGTGCCTCCCTGCTGGGTCCAAATCCCCCTTCCCCAACAGGACCCCCTGGTGAAGGTTCCAAACCCAACCTGCTAATTGCCTCTGCCTCCTGGTACCTCCACGCCACTGCTGCTAATTGCTCTGCAACTGCCAAAGCTCCAATTTCTCTGTAAATCCCCCCAAAACCCCCTCATACCCCAGCCCTCCAGCCCTACTGCATCTGTTGCACCAGCCAAACCACTGGAAATAACCCAAACAGCTTGGTTATCTATTTTTTATTGTATTATTTTTTAACCCCAATTAGATGAAATAGCTGATTTTTTAAAAAAAATTTCTTTTGCTCTATTTTATTTTCCTCAATCTTCTTTTACTTTACTCTATTTTATTTTACCCTATTTTCTTTTATTTTACTCTATTTTATTTTCTCTTCCTCTGTTTTGTTTTGCTGTATTTTATTTTATTCTATTTTTCTCCATTATGTTTTCTTTCCCTCTATTTTATTTCCCTTCCCTCTGTTTGATGTTATGCCCAGGACCTGCTCTGGATCCCAGGCTGTGCTGGAGGAGAAGCAAAGCTATTTTTCTTTCTCTCCCCCCTGCATTACCTGCCTATTTCTCTTTTAAACTGCAAAAATTAAACCTGTGTCCTGCACCCCTCAGGGAGAAAGCAGTGCTTGTAAGTTGGCTTCAGTAAGGTGCTGAACCCAGATTTTGGGGTTCCCCTCCAACCAAGATCACCAGCCAAAAGGATTGAGAAGGAGCCTTGTGCTTTAAAACCCACCAAAAAAAAAAATCAACTAAAAAGGCCTTTTTATATCGCAGTGTTGTGTAAAGAACGTTTTTATTCTTTTAATATAAAATTCCAATTAATTTTTCTCGGAAATGGGATGGGTGGGGATTTTTAAATGCTTCTTTTTTTTTTTTTTTCCTGTTTGTACTAAAAATTGTATTAAAATATTTTCAATCTCGGGTATCTTTCTGGAATTGTCTCTTTTATCCCCCCCTGACTATCCCCACCTGGACCAGTCCCCACCTCCCGTGCTAGATCAGAGCCACTCCCCCATCCTAAATGGATCCTGCCCTTCTGGCTGAACACCTCGACTCTTTTGCCACCTTTTTCTCTTTGAAGGAGGCCCTAAAAATGGACCTAAAAATGGCCCTAAAAATGGCTCAATTTAAAGTTAAACCCCTTGGGATTGTCCCTCTGCAGGACTCTTCCCAAGGCTGAAATGCCACCAGCGTTTTCCTCTTATGGATCCTCTCACGGACCCTCAGAGCTGAACTCTGCCTGTTTTCTCCCATTTTCCACGGATTCAGAGCTGACTTGTGCCTAATTAGGCACTTGGTTAATTGAAGCTGATTTTTGCTCCCCTGTGTAGGGGCACGACCTCCTGCCCTGTCCTGCTGGGCGTGTTTTTCCCCAGGGATAACGCTTTCCATCCAGGTTTTTGCAGGGCTGCTGCCTCCCCTCAGCCTCCTCATCCTGCCTGGTCCACAAATACATCCCATCCCACCTCAAAAAACCAGGATTTACCATCCCTGGTGGTTCCTGTGACACCTCCAAGGGTCACCTGAGGGCTCCCTGGGGGTAAGAGAGACACTGGGGCTGGAGCAACAACCAAGAGGAGGATCTGCCTCTGTTCACGGGCTAAAACAGGGTTTCCCCCCTTCCAACACTCATCTTTTGGTCAATAAAACCAGATTAATGAGCATTATTGAGGTTTCTGGTCATACCTCTTACCTTCAGCTAACCCCTGGGAAATAATAGTAATTTTTGAACAGGCAGAAACGAGGGAAAAGGGAAAATTACCCCCCAAAGGTACAGAGAGGGGCTTTTCTTACACCTCTGGGATGTGGCTGTTTGAATTTAGTTGTGGTTTTATTAATATTTATTCATTGTCCTGCCCCAACAGCATCTACTGAGTTCTCTCCAGCTCTCTGAGATGCTCCCATCAAAGAAAACATCTTTATTTCTTTTTTTCCTGTCCAGCCACAGCAGGCTTTTTAACACAGTGTGTGCCAAAGCATCAGGATTTGGGCCTTGCCAGCACCATTTTTGTAACACAGGGGTTTGACAAACCTCGTGGGATCCAAGATCTGGTTTTCACCTTCATTAACCAGGGAAAGGAGCTTAATTACTCGACTGCTGGTGGCTCTGCCCCTCCACCTGCATCTTTCAGCCCTCCAAAAGGTTTCAGCTGGGGGCTGACAAGGCAGATTGGTTTGATGTATCATAAAGTGACTGTTTAGATGAGCAGAAAATACAAATAAACTTATTTTATAGGTGGCCAAGGCCACAGAGTTACAGTTTTGTATCACTTGGGGTCCCACCAAAATTTCACGTGTCCTGGATGTGCAAGGACCATAAATTCCTGAGCTGTAAAGGTTGGAAAATGAAGGTTTGCAAACCCTTCTGGATGTTTTTGGCACTAATTTGCTGCCAACATGCCAAAGGGTTGGACCTGCCACATGCCAAAATCCTGGGAAAACAGGAGAAAACTCAAAATAAAGCCCAAGCAATCGCACACATCGGGCACCTGGGGGTCTCTGCAGGGCTAAAGCTCGAGCCTTGGTGCGTTGCCAAAATCCCCCCAGCAAAATGCTGCAGAGGATTATCCAGAGGGCAAAAAAGAAAAAAAAAAAAAAACAAAACAACTCAATAAAAATAACCTACCAACCTAACCAAAAAATCCACTCTGAAAACCCAAGTGCACCTCAGGCATAATCTCCAAAATGTGCCTGTGACTGTTTCCAGTGGCTCTGGGAGATGAGGGTGCAGTTGATGGGGCAATGCCGGGCCCAAAGGGTGCTCAGGGGATGCTGCAATGGGCACCCTGCACAGGGAAGACACAGCAAAAGGGATTTAATTTTTTTTTCCCCCAAATAGCAGAGGATCAGGGAACAAACATGAAGTTTTTAGGGCATCTCCAAGTGGCAGGCAGCTGGGGTGCTGCTCCCCAGGGTCACAGGCACCTCCTCGGGGGCTGACCAGACGTGGTACCTGAGCCATCACCACTGCAGGGGTTGTCACTCGTTTTCTACTTAATGGGGGGGAAAAAAAGAAGGGTCTTAATTACCAACCAAAAGAGTTCATTATCATCCTGGCATTCCAGATTCTTTCCTTGGCCCCTTCCATCCCTCTGACTCTCTTGCACCACTCCTGGGTCTTAGGCCACTCTAATGTCTTAGGTCACTCATTCCTAGGCAGTAATTAAAAGGTCTAATTAAAAAACAGGGGATATTTGCCCAGGACACACAGTCCCCCCACCTGGGGAGAGTTCCCAGCGGGTTCCCAGAGGTTTCCCCACGTGACATTTTTGTGGAGGCTCCATTCCCAGCCTCTGAGTGCTCTCCCTGCAGGGATGCCCATCACGTCTCGGAGCACAAAGCTCAGCTGACGTGCCTTGGAGGGACCTTAAATAGCCCAGCACAGGCTCTGGCCAGCACTGCCTACCCCTGGCTCCACCAGATGGGTCAAGATCAGAATCCCACTGGCATTTAAAAGCCTTCCACACCCACATCCCCATCCCAAACCACCGGCAACAAAGAGATTCTGTCATCATCCCACTGCAGCTACGATGAGCCTGTGGTGAAGGTAATGCCCTTTTCTTGCCAGCAGGGTTTATTTAGGGCTGGTTTTCCCCAGCATTAAGAATTTCTTTCTTTCCTGTTTTTTTTTTTCCTCTTCTCTTGCTCATATAACTCAAGTGGCTGAACAGATTTTCTTCAAAGGCTGCAAAACAACCGGGGTCTAGTGGAAACAAATAAGATTATGGAGAGTTAGCTCAGAAGGGAGCCTGGGGAAATAAAAAAAATTATGGTAAACTGGGGTCTAGGAGGCTGTTTGTGGTAAGACACGCTCAGAGTGAAGCTGGTGGAAGTGCTCAGAGGTGGTGGGGGAGTGATGTCTCTGCTCCCAGTGACATCCCAAGAGGGGATGTGGGGGTAGATGTGGCACACTGGGTGTGGGGACCGTGACCCTCCTCCCCAGCTCTGCCCCACAGGGAGCCAGGGCTGTGCCAGGGTGGGCAGCCTCTGGCTGGAGGTACCAAACCTGGTGGTGACAAACTTATCACCTCGTGATGATTAACCCGTGCAGCTCAGAGACTCACCTGGTCTCGTTAATTAATTAATTAATCCATGTAAACCCCTGTCCAAAAGGCTGTTGCGGTGGTGGCAACTTCAGGCACTAAAATATTT